GTTGCATTATCACTGAAACGACGTTCGAAGCGATAAAAGCGACTCAGCCAGAAGGCGTTGCGATTGCTCGATAAATTTTAGCTGCTCGCTAATTATGAAGTGATGCATTTTTCTGTGCTTAAAGGAATGCAACAGGAAATTCGTCGCTGCGAATGGGTTTAGTTCCCATAAAGGACATTCCTTCAGCACTCGGCAAGCGTCGAGTGATGAATGGCTGAACAAGTGAGGGGGCGAAGGGGGGGGGGGGGGGGGGGGGGGCAAGAACAAGAGAAATAATGGAAATAATAAGGACAACAATAGACGTGTCCTCTGTCCATACGCTGAGCTGCCTTCCTGAGCGGAGCACTGTCCCGGCGCTTACTTCACTTTTAATATGTTAAACTGGGGACTCGACAGCGCACAAAAGTGCGGCATGCCTGGCATGTGGAATCCGGAATTCTTGCCCCGCCTCACACATGAAGCCGAACGAGGGGCGTTAGCCGCCCGCAGCTCTAGTTCATAAAATGCAAAAGAAACAAGCGAGAGTGCTCCGGACGGGTGTGCCTGACTGGTGAATACCCTGCATGTCCAGCTCCCAACTACTTCTTCCATTGACCCACAAGACGGGAAAATCCAATCTCGATTAGCTTCGGTCTTTATTCAGTTTTTAAGCTTACGTAGTTGTCGGATAGATGCCTTCTGCTGGACAAGTCAGATATACCCTCTTGATATAAATTTCAATGGGTTCTGGGTGTAAAAAAAGTTGAAGAAGAAGCAAAGTGAATCGGGCTCCCGGACTTCACATAGATAGCACACACAAAGCAAGTGCACAAAACTGAAAACTGTAGCCAAGCACTTTTTGATTTATGGAGTAGGGTAGCGCTAGTTGTAGCGGGTAGCGGGTAGGGGTAGGGCTGGGGGTAGGGTGTGCACTCGTATGGTTAGGATGAGATCGGCGGCGGGGTTTTGGTCGGAAGTGTAGACAATTTGTTAGAATTTATACAAAAAACTCAGGCCGCTTTGGCCAACGAATGATGGTATTTTATTTTTTTTCGGTGCAAGCGGGGCCAGTTTCGTGAGGGGACGGGGGATGGGGGTAGTCTGGCATATAAAACCCCGAGTGGCATTTTATTTTAAAGTAGCTCAAACAAATGCCGAGGCTTTTGTGTAAAGTTAGAACTAATGATTTTCACTAAACATTGCGGCGAGAAGGGAATGATGTTGGGCGAGGGGCGAGGGGGTTGGCTTAGACCCGGCCTAGCGGCTGGCGGCAGCATCTTCTGGCTGAGACATGCCCGGCACAGATTTACATGACATTATGTCATTGTTGTTGTTCTTGTTGTTGTTGTCTGCTTTTATGACGTCAATTATGTTTATGAATGTCTAAACAAAAACTTATATAAAGCCTTCCATCGCTCGCATTGTCCTCGTTTTGCGCCACACACACACACACGGCCCAGAGAGGGGGAGTGGGTCGTGGGGCGGCTTTATTCACAATTTTCGGGTAGTTTGAGTTTAAGTGAATTTATTACCATGAGCAAAATTTATTTAAGCAGTCAAATGCACGTGAAGTGCATCACAAGAAAGCTGTCACACAGTCTCGGCTGACATCAAAGGCGATACAGGATCCAGGCGGAGGGCCAGGCCCAAATGCATATGTAGGAGGCTCAAGCGCTTCTTTTTTTCTCAAATCCCGCAACAGGGTGACTCGTGAGTTGAAACTGGTTTTTAGTTGCGTTATTCGGAAAGCAAAGGTTGAGGCTTCGGAGAGGGGAAATGGGAGTCTTGTCGTGGGGGCAGGTTTCCTGGTTTGGATGTCCATTGAGCAGGCGCCTTCCGGCTGGCCCTAGAACTGAGGCAAGCGGCGGGAATCTCAAGCTCATATCGTTCAGATGTCTAAGATGCTTAAGAGTAGAGACAGAGGAGGAGACTTAATCCCATAGGAAGAAGCTAAAGTGTCAGCCGGAACAGACTCATGGGAATAATAAGCTGCAAGGTACTGGTTCAAAAAATGAAACCTTACTATTTTGATGCTTTAGGATAGGTAGTAGAAGCTGATTAGTTCTAACTAATTTCAACAGAGACTTTCATAAATTAAAGCCCGGACTACGGACATGGGAATAAAGCTATATGGATCCTAATCCTAAAGCTAACTAGTTCCAGAGTGGGACCTACGGATAATGTGGCGCCCGAGCAGGGACCTAAGAAGTTCAGCCTGAAACTTGAAGCTGACTAGATGTCAAGATGTCAAGCGTTTGAACTGGGACCTTTAGTTAGTGTGGCGCCCGAGCAGGGACTTGATAATTAAACTGCATGGATCTAAAATTTAAAGCTAACTAGTTCATAGATGGGAACTATCGACGTTGGGTTATAGTATGAAATCTATGGATCTGCAAAGATCTTAAACTTAAAGTAGAAACTTAAATATTGTGGCGCCTTAACAGGGCATGTATCTAAACCCTGAAGCTAAAGTGACATCCATGGATATTGGTAGCGCCCGAGCAGGAACTTGTCAGCTTTAGGGACTTGAGAAGCGGTTGCTTAATGCTGTTGATGCTGCTGACTAAGCCTAGAATGTCAAGCGTCCGAACGGGCACCTGCTGGCGTCCGAGCAGTCTCTGGGCTCAAGTGCCAACAGCCGTGAGACGCCCTAATGTCAAATGTACAAACACATTGAGAATGACAGGGCCATATAAAGCGCACTTGTGCCAATGACTGACATACTCTCTCGCACACACAGACAGAGAGACAGACAGAGAGACAGACACAGAGCCACGTTCGTGCTGGAGGGCAATGCAAATGCAGCAGTTGCCAGACGTAATTCCAACTGAAAGGCAACACACACACACGCAGGCCCCGAGGCACGCAGAGCATGCAAGATGGCAGTTGCAAGATGGAAGATCGGAGATGCAAGTTGGAAGTTGGAGTGGCAACCGTTGACAAGGACGACGTTGGTCGCCGCCGCTTGAAATCAAATCAAATTCCCCGGCAAACATCAAGAGTCCGACCTCGACTTTGCTGCGAACTGTTGGAATTATGGCCTTTTTTTTTTTGGAGATTTGGTTTTTGCCTTGCGGTAAATGGAAGATTGTGGCTGACCTTGGGCTTTGTGCAGCTTAAGCAATTAGCGTGTGGCACTTGCCACAAAAAGTTGAAGCGCCAAATGCGCAAAAGCTCGAGTGCAGCAAAACAGCACTCGAGCCGAGTCGAGTCGAGTCGAGTCGAACTGGCAACCCACTGGCTGTGCGTGCATATTACGCTTTTCGCACGATTTACTCTCGAGTGCTAACACCCCAACCCCCAATCCCAATCCCAATCCCAATCCATTCTGTGCCCCTTCAAGTGGCCACGCCCCATTGAAGAAGACTCGAATCCAGTTGAGTTCAGCTCGCAGCGCACCTACAATTTCCGCATGTCAACTGCACTTTGCATGAGTGCGTCCCAGCCCGCAAATAACCATGCCCCCCCCCCCCTCCCCCCACCCCCTTCCAATTCCCTGGCATATATATATATACATATATAGCTGGCATTTCCCAGCACATTTCCCCCTGATTTCTATTTGGTTTTCACTCTCTTTTTTCAATTTTCTATTTTTTTTTTGTGGCATTTCCACTTGATTTACAAAACTCAACGCTGGCTGCCGCACAACAACAATAACACAGCCACATTTGACTGACTGATTGACTGACTGACTGACTGACTGACTGACTGACTGACTGACTGACTGACTGACTGACCCCCCGTTTGCCCCCTCCTTTGGTGTACGCCATGTCCCGGCTGCCTGTGGACTGTTGATTTATATGCACGTCGATTCGACGTAATTGAAGACGTGATCGAAATTCAAATTTTTGATTTTTAGACCCGTGACTGCATTGACCTCCCTTCCCCTCTTACCCACGCTCCTTGTTTTCCACACACACACATATTCGCAACGTTGGCGGGCTTAATGTGATTTTGGTTTACGCTCTGCGTGTAAGCGCCCACAACCAGCTCTCCCCCCCCCCGCCTCCGCTCCCACCGCCCCATCCAAACACCCTTCCATACTGCGCTTCGTCCTGCCCAATTTCCATGTTAATGTCGCGTTACATTTTCCTCCGTTTTTCTTCTTCTTCTTCTTTTTTATAGTTTTGTGCATTGAATTAATTTTCATTTTTGGCAACAAGTGAGCCCCCGCTCCCGCCTCCGCCGCCGTCGCACCACCTGTCGCATTCCATCAATGAGTTGGGAACCAGGAATCAGGCTCCCCTTGGAACTCCGACCCCTTCCGCTGGCCGAAAACCACAGTCAACCCAATTTAGTCTGCGCAGCGAGTGGCTTACCAACAACCAGCAAATCATTGAAAGCTTTGTCAATTTCACATTTTATCAGTTTAAGGTCTTCTCTGCACCTGGAGCGGAGTCCATTAACTATGCGCTGGCTTTTGGAATTCCCTTCGGACTGTGTCAAAACTGAACCAATTTTCATGCTCGTCCCATTTTGATGAGGATATAGGATAAATGCAAACGTATTTACTAGGTTCTTCGCCTAAGTAAATACTAAGTCCAAAGACTAGCTTGGAATAGTTGGAAAGGAGAACTTCGTCCTTCCCATGCGCTATGGAATATAAGTGAGGTTATCAAGGCCTTTGCGGTCGACCCATTGTAGAGGGAAGTTTGGAGAGTATCCAACACACAGCGGAAGGCATCTTTGAGCTAGCTTGGAATTTGATTATGGATCCTACATGTTTAGTTATCTACATGATTATGAATCCTCACTACGATAGCTCAGCTGCCCCGGACTGCATATGGAAAAATTGTTGGTATCCATGCGAAATATTCCTTTGAGCTGATCAACGCTTTTGAGGTCGACTGATTATGCCAGGAAGACAGGAAGATAGGATATCGAGGAGAGCTTGGAAAGTATGCAACATACAGGGGAAGGCATCTCTGGCCTAGCTTGGAATTCGAACCCGGATCCTACATGTTTAGTTACCCAAATGACTCATCAGCTCATCTATTTGCATATGGAAGAATATCACTTACCTCTGCACTATACTCCTTCGAGATGTTCAATGCCCTTGTGGTTGACTGATTATTCCGGGCAGTCAGGGAGTTGGCATATACGATTTCTCATATCCTGAATCCATTGTAGAGGAAAGATTGGAAGGTATGCAATAGGCAGAAGAAATGAACTCCGACCTCATTAGGTATTTGTACTCTTGGACAGGAGGTAGAGCTGAGACCCGACTCGGGAACTACAAAAGATCTGAAATTGGAAAAAATATTTCCGTATATTATATGCATTATATTATTGTTTACTTTCGATATCTTCTTCCTTTTGCATCGCCTCGATTTTCAGACTAAGTCTTTTAAGCATGCAGATCCTGGTATAGTATATACAGGAATATTTCACTTCTCGGATTCCATCCTTCTTTCGCCTAGGGCTTCAAAAACAACCAGAGGTAAAGCCCTGCGCTTTGGCATGCAGACGCTTCTGTATGTTAAATGGAAGCTTGGAGTATTTTTTAAGGATAGAAGTTAAGTTAAGAGAAGTTAGTTAAGTTCACATGGTCTGGGCGAAAGGGGCGGAAGAAGCACTTGAATAGAGCATTTTGTATTCGCATTTGGATTTCTGCTGCTTGAATAGGCTGCGGGCTTGAGCGACGTTTTCTCTCTGCTTCCAGCGAGCTGCTTCTCTTCCGCCCTCTCAACTTCTCGTGCTCGCTTCTCTCACTCTCACTCTCTCTCACTCTCTCTCTCTCTCTATTTATCTCTCTCTATGTTGTATCTTCCCAACTTTGTTAAATCAGCCATGAAAACGGATTGTCGTCTGTATTCCACTCGGTCTCTCCCTCTCTGTCTCTCTCTCCCTCTCCCTCTCTCCCTCTCTGTGTGTCTCCCTCTGTAGCTGTCTGCTCATTTGACTTGGGCGCTGACTGAATGACTGCCTGCTGGACGGAGGACGTGACCTGCTGCCATGTCTAAAAGCTTTCAATAATAATGGCAGAGAACCTGCCGAGCTGCTGCTGCTGCTTATTAACATTGCCCCGTCCTCCAGCCTGCGTGTGTGTGTGTGTGTGTGTGTGTGTCCTGTGCGTCTTGTGCGTCTTGGGGATTATGTCTCGACATAGTAACCCTCCTCCCTCCCAGCTCCCAGCTTCCCCTGCAGCTGCGTGTCAGCGTCTCGTCTCACGACTTTTCCGCCTCGTCTCGCCGTTAACTTCAACACCTGTCCAGCTCCAGCTCCAGCTCCAGCTCCAGCTACAGCCACAGCTGCTGCCTTGTCTGTCACATGCAGTAACCTACCGCCCCCTCCCCCCTTTTTGAACTCCTCTAACTTCCAGCCCTCCTCCCCGTCGAGGGGCGACCCGCTAGACACATGCTAATGGTAAATGGTTGTGTTGGCGACAGTCAGAGACAGAGAAACAACTTCGCACACACACACACACACACACACACACACACACACACACACACACGCACGCACACATTCGCAGTCTGTTGTGCTTTTGTCTTAGGCTGCGTTTGTGTTAATATTTACATAATTGTGGTTAAAAGTAGCTTTTAAGATGTTTTTAACTGGCAAATGGTAAAAAGCATTTCACACACACGCACGCACACACGCACACCTAGACACCTGGCCACCCCTCCCCTCATCTACATCCATTTAGCCCTGTACTTTGCCTTTGGCATTTGCCAGTTTGTGCTTTTGTTTCTATTTTGTGCTGCATTTAATAGCAACAACAACAACAACAACTGACAAATGTGTTTGATGGCATTTTATTGCTAACCCACCACCTGCCCCCTTCCCCCTCACCTAAAACGCCGCCCACATTCAGCCCCTTTTTATGGTTTGACATTTTAATAAAGATGCGTGGGCTCTGCTGAAGGGGGGCAGGGTGAAGAGGGGGAGGTGGCTGGGGTGGCTTGTTGGTAATAGCAAAAATAGCAACAATTTCAGGCATTTAGTTAGTTTTCGCCTGCACACACACACACACACACGAGCTCGGCGAATTGTTGAAAAATATTTTTGGCTAACCTCAAAACATTTCATTTGGGAATTTTTATGCGATATACCCCTTGCGAGTGCAGACAACAAAACATGGGTAGATTAGTGCGTGCACACACCAAACTTCGACAAGTAAGAGGTTCTAGTCGGGAACTCCCGACTAGGGGATACAGGGAACCCTCTACTTCCGACAGGCGATAGGTATAAAATGAAAGATACTTGATATATATATATACTATTCTAGAAGCTACATGTCACGCTTGGTGACTCTAGCTCACATTATTTGCCGAAATTGCTCAAAAAACATTATTTCGATATCGATTTTTATCGATTACTTGGAAACGGGGCAAGTTATCGAATATCGGAAAGAAACTCGATCTGCGTTGGCATTAGGAGGACCTACAGCTAAAATTTCAAGCTCTTATAGCTCTTATAGGTTGCGAGATCCTTGCGTTCATACATACGGACGGACGGACGGACGGACGGACAGACATGGCTAGATCGACTCGGCTATCGATGCTGATCAAGAATATATATACTTAAAGCGGTCGGAGATGCTTTCTTCTGCCTGTTACATACACTCGCACAAATATATAATACCCTTTTTACACATTTTCAATGGGTTCAGGGTATAAATATAGCCTATAAAATAATTAAAATATTTTTTGCTCGAGCTAGAGATATCAATTCGTTAAAGTTTTTGCTTTTCTGAAATTTGTTGACCAGCTGACCAGTTGCTAAATGTTCGCTTTGAGCCGGAATGCAAAAATAGCTTGTAGCTTGTATTAACTGTAACTGAACTATATTACCAAGCAATATACAAGTTGATATGCAAGCCTATTTTATGGACAGGCAGAAGCAGGCTCAGCCCAAGCCCTATGCTATATATATTCCCGATCAGCTGTCAGTCCTTAACTATATACTAATATATTCCCGATCAGATAATGCTGTTGCACAGATCTCTCGACATGAGAGAGTAAAAGAAAGAACTACTTGCAAAGAGCATAATTTGTAGCTAAGCGATAATTTCTGCCAATCGATAAATATCGATTTCAGCTTTTCGATTCGAAATGCTCGATTTATCGCATGTTGCATGAAATTCTTCTCTAATAGAGAGCATATTTTTCTATTTATATAAAATAACTTTCTTTCTCGTTGTTCACTCGAAATTCAGCTAAATATTCCATATTTTGTATACACATATATTTCAGGGCTAATTTTAAGTATATATGTATATATGAAAGAAAAGTTACTCAACAATGAAATGTATATAATTCATTTGCAGGGTATCTGGCAGTCGTGCGGCCAATTTGTGTGCTTGAATTTGTTGTGCATTGGCTTTTATGTGAATTTGTTGCAACAATTTCGTCGGGCTTCAAAAATATTGAGCTGCAAAAAGTTGTTGCCACTAGCACCCCCCCCCCCCCCCCCTCCCCTATAACCACTGCCCCGTCACCCTTGAGTCCTGCCCCCTTCTGTGGCAAACGCCCCCGGCAGTCCCCCTTTGGCTGAGGCTTGTTTAGTTAGCTCTTGAGGTTCGGCTCGTGCTACCAAATCGTTTACTGAGTGTATGTGTGTGTGTGTCTGTGTGTGTGTGTGTGTGTGTGTGTGCAGCTCTTTATGCTGCAACAAGAGCTGCTCCTGCTGCTGCTCCTGCTGCTGTTGCCGCAGCCGCAAAAACTTTAACTTTCAGCAACTTGTTTCGTCCATTCGAACGCCTCCGCCTACGCCGCCTCCACCGCCACGCCCCCGCCACCTGCCCCCTAATGCCTTTTTTCCATATAGATTGACAAGACGCTGGGGAGCGGGGCAAAGTAGTGGGTTTGAGGTTAGGGGGAAGCCGCATAAGGCAAAATTGTGGCAAGCCAAAAGCTCAAAGAGCGCAAACGCTTCAATGATAACAACTAGACGTTGCTTGGGGAGGGGAAGGGAGGGGGGGGGGGGGGGGGCAAAAGAATATTCAAATGGCAGTTGAGCAAAGGACATGATATCGAGGATAAACGGACACCTGATAACTTGTTGGGCATTTGCCTAAACGGGCTGGTTTAATTGCCAGTGCGAGAAGCGAAAATGGGCTTAGATATACATATGTATCTCCCTCTGAAATGACAAGGAATGCCCGACTAGGAGATACCCTGAACCTTCCTCTCACAAAGGCTCAAACTAGCATTGATTGAAATATACAAGTTAAAGTGTTTAAGTCGGAAGTGCCCGACTAGGGAATACCCTGAACCTGCTCCTCACAAGGGGTTTAACTAGCATAGGGAGAAACATACAAGTCCCCAACTATCTTAAGCGTATATAACAATTCACCAAGGCCCTAAAGCTGCAAAATTTAAGATAATTGACCTTTATAAACAACTCTAGCAGCTGCTCGTCAAATTTGATGACTCTAGCTCATAAAACCGAAGAGTTTTGTTCAAAAAACAAAATTTCGATATCGATTTTTATCGCTTGCTTGGAGACGGAGCAAGTTATCGATTATCGGAAATAAGCTCGCACTGCGTCGGCACTAGAAGGACTAATGCTTAAAATTTCAACTCTCCAGCTCTTATAGGTACTGAGATCGACGTGTTCAAACATACGGACGGACGTACATGGCTAGATCGACTCGGCTATTGATGCTGATCAAGAATATATATACTTTATGCTTCCTTCTGCCTGTTATATACGTTCCCACAAACACATTTTACCCTTTTTAACCCATTTTCAATGGGTTCAGTGTACAATTTAGTACATTTTTTGCTATAGTTGAACTGGCGATTTCACGCTTTCTAGTTCGACGCTCCAACACCGAAGACAACTCGCGACGCACAGGAAAGTTTCAGGGAAATGCTTTTGTTTCCCAGTTCTCAAAGGGATACTAAATATCGAGAGATGAGTTTTTGTCTGGTGAACTTTAGAGGTCGTCTACGAGCTTCATTTTTTTGTTCAATTCATTAATCGATATTAATCCGAATCGAGTTGCCTCTCAGCTAGTTATCCTATAGTCTGTCAAATTGTAAAGCTGTCAGCTAGCAAAGCAGATCAATTAAGAGCTGAAGAGCCAGAGAAAGCTAATACAGAGCGAAAGAGAGAGAGAGAGAGCGAGAGAGAGAGAGAGAGAGAGAGAGAGAGAGAGCGAGACAAACGATGGGTTTCACGCAGAGGCTCTCCTGGCTGCTGTTGATTTTGACGCTGTTTCTGTTGCTGTTCGGTAAGAAGGTTTTCCTGGAATTGAGCTAATCCCCGACTGATTTCGCATCCCCATTAAGCAGCACTGATCGGAGGCAAGGGGGAGGGCCAGCTGGCGAAGGGGCAGCCGCCGGAATTGACTCGCCACAAGCGCGAGGGCTCAGGTAAGTGGGCATTCCTGGCGACCGAACCTTCCGAATCCCCCAATTCCCACGCAGCCTTCAAGTCGCACGTTAGCAAGCGGCAGGGCGCTGTCTTGAGCGACGAAGATGCGGCAGCCATAGACGATGATGGCGACGACGTGGAGTGGGATGCGGAGCAGAAGCATCAAATTAGCATTCAGACGACCAATGTGGATGAGGAGGAGCGCAAGGAGCGGGAGAAGGATCGCGAGGTCAAGCAGGCGCTCATGCAGATGATGAAGCTCACCGAGAATAAAGTTGGTGAGTGACCTCCCCCCCCCTCAAAACATACCCGGTACGCCCATGGCTGAGCAACTGTTCCACAGCAAACAGACAGCAGGAACGATTCGATAATGTGCCCGGCCTGGACTTTAGGCGCGAATTCGCAAGCGACGAGGCCAATCCCTACATCTAACCGGATCTCCACACCATCGGGCTGACCCTTGAACCCCTTTACAGTTCAGGACAAAGATGCGAGCAATTTATATATATATATAAATATCTATGTTTCAGTAAATATCTTATTTTAGAAGTTTGCAAATAATTGCCAGGTTCTCCTAATGTTCATCTCTGCTGAGAAGGTATTTATACTCTGCAGTCATTAAATGTGTAACCTATATATATATAATCTTGATCTCCATCAACTGTCGAGTCGTTATAGCCAAGCTCCCCTGTCTGTCCGACCGTCTGTCTGTTTCTATGCGAGCAAGTCTCTTGGTTTTTTTAAGCTTTCGTCTTGAATCTTTGCATAGGTTCGTCTTTCTGTTGCAGGCAGGATATAAGCCGAAAGAGATCGGATCGGAGCAATATATCATATAGCTGCCATAGGAACGATCGGTCGAAAAGTTGGTTCTTGTATGGAAAACCTAGCTTAACTTTGCTGCCTATAACTGAGCCAAGTCTTAACAAGTTCGCATCACTCTATTATATAGCTGAGCTGATGTATGGCAAAATATTCCGTTTTCCAAGATAGATAATAGATACCCGAGCTCATCAAGAAGGTTCTTCACATTCAGTTTGTTGGGAAAAGAAGAGTCGCTGAAGAAACTGGGCTTTGGACTCGAGTATCTCGTAGTCTCAAGTAGAGAGCGCATCTCAGCTTCATCTGAAGAAAATCCTATCATTATGTGACCCTTATATAGCTTCTATCGGAAAAATCGGTTCATGATTGAATTAGTTTAGGTCAAAATTGTGTAACCGGGCTAAGAAATCGCTGCATCTGCTGCATGTTGAGCATTTGCTAGGCTATTTGATTTTAACAAGTATTTTTCCATTTATAAATTTAAGCACCTCCTGGGCATTAATCAGGATTTTCAAGATCCCAGGCATTCACCTAATTCGAACCTTGAGCTAAGCCAGAACCAAGCTTTTGGCTTTCAAGGAATCTATTTTGCACACTTAACGGCAACTTGTTCTGTCCGCTGCCTTCACAGGGAATATTCCTTTGCTATCTAGATTTTCGGCTTGGACCATTAATTTTGTAATTTTCTTGTTGTGGAGGCGTGTCAAAGTTGAAGTTTCATTTCGTTTCCGTTTCCGTTTTCTTTCCACATTTATTCAGATGCTTAATTATAAAGTCATTTGAGTGTCAGCAAAGCGCGGAGCACAGTTCAGCTAGAGAGACACGACTCTAGATACCCTGTAAACATCAGGCGGATCGAAAATGTGGATAGAAATCTTATCAGCAGATAGCTTCGAGTGGAAAAGGTCTCATTGGAGGAGACCTCATCGGAGGAGAACTTTTTGGAGAAGACGTCATTGGTGGCGACCTCATTGGTGGAGACCTCATTGGAGGAGAACTCATTGGAGGAGAACTCATTAGAGGAGACCTCATTAGAGAAGATCTCATTGGAGGAGAACTCATTGGAGGTGATTTCATTAGAGGAGAACTCATTAGACGAGACCTCATTGGAGGATACCTCATTAGAAGAGACCTCATTGGAGGATACCTCATTAGAGGAGACCTCATTGAACGAGACCTCCTTGGAGAGGTTCTCATTAGAGAACTCATTGGAGGTGACCTTATTAGAGGAAAACTCAGTGAAGGAGATATCATTAGAGGAGAACTCATTGGAGGAGACCTCATTAGAGGAGACCTCATTAGAGTAGATCTCATTGGAGGAGAACTCATTGGAGGTGATTTCATTAGAGGAGAACTCATTAGACGAGACCTCATTAGAGGAGACCTCATTTGAGGAGATCTCATTGGAGGATAACTCATTGGACGTGACTTCATTAGATGAGAACTCATTAGAGGAGACCTCAGTAGAGTAGACCTCATTAGAGGAGACCTCATTGGAGGAGACCTCATTGGAGGAGACCTCATTAGAGGAGATCTCATTGGAGGATAACTCATTGGAGGTGACTTCATTATATGAGAACTCATTAGAGGAGACCTCAGTAGAGTAGACCTCATTGGAGGAGAACTCATTGGAGGAGACCTCATTAGAGGGGAACACATTGGAGGTGAATTCATTGGAGGAGAACTCAGTAGAGGAGATCTCATTAGAGGAGACCTCATTAGAGTAGATCTCATTGGAGGAGAACTCATTGGAGGTGACCTCATTAGAGGAGAATTCATTAGACGAGACCACATTAGAGGAGACCTCATTGGAGGAGAACTCATTGGAGGAGACCTCATTAGAGGAGACCTCATTGAACGAGACCTCCTTGGAGAGGTTCTCATTAGAGGAGAACTCATTGGAGGTGACCTTATTAGAGGAAAACTCATTGAAGGAGATATCATTAGAGGAGAACTCATTGGAGGAGACCTCATTAGAGTAGATCTCATTGGAGGAGAACTCATTGGAGGTGATTTCATTAGAGGAGAACTCATTAGACGAGACCTCATTAGAGGAGACCTCATTTGAGGAAATCTCATTGGAGGATAACTCATTGCAGGTGACTTCATTAGATGAGAACTCATTAGAGGAGACCTCAGTAGAGTAGACCTCATTGGAGGAGAACTCATTGGAGGAGACCTCATTAGAGGGGAACTCATTAGAGGAGAACTAATTGAACTCGACCTCTCTGGGGAGTCTGGAGGCAGCTTTTCGTATATCCCAAGAGCTAAACATATTACAGGGTATATTTTAGTCTTTTTCTGTGCGCTGCACTCCAATTTTCAAATTTGAAAGCTGCATACTTTGAGGCGCTGCTGAACTTTAATGCGCCTCTTATTGATCAGCATTTGGCGACTGTGCGCGGGGGCGGTAGGCGGGGCAGCTGTGTATGGAGCTCAGTCGGCAATTTATGGCAATTACCAGCGATTAAAGAGTTGAGCGCGAGGCAAGAGGAAGAGGAAGAGCCAAAAAAAAAAGAAAAGAAAAGCATGGCAAATGAAAACTTTGCCGGAGCCGTCGACAGAAATGCAGAACACGAAATGGAGCTGAGCGAGAGACAGCTGGAGATTGGCCATTGGATGTGGGCGGTTGTGGGTGGTGCTGGGTGGTGCTGGGCGGCTGCATGGGGCAGCTGCTGGCGCGATAAATGTAATCAAATTTAATTTCGACAAATTGCTTTTGAATTACGCGACCTTCGACGTTTGGCGCCGGCGACGCGGCGCCCGAAACACAGTTGCAAAATTGTTGTTAAAATAATAATAACTTGCGAGCGAGTGTGTGTGTGCGAGTGTGTGTGTGTGTGTGTGTCGGCCGGCGTACAATTGCCACAATAACAACAGCAATTTGCGCTTGAAATGATGAAAACAAAGTGACGACGACGACGACGAACTTTGCCGCACACCACGGCGTATACGTAATAATAAAAATTATGATTCATTCGCAAACACACGGCGGGGGGAAAGGGGGAAGGGGAGGGGGAGGGGGTGCAGACAGACAAGGGCAAGGGTTGGGCACTGATTGGCCATTTTGGCTTAAATGCAAAAATTAATTTGATTGAGCCTCGCGCTGAAAGTTTTCAGTTTTCCGTTTTCAGTTTCAGTTTGCAATTTTCAGTTTTTCGTTTTTCGTTTTTCGTCGTTTTCAGTTTTTCATTGCAAAGTTTAAGCAAATAATTATTTTGTTGGGCTGAATGCGCTGATTATTTAGCCGCACAATTCGCAAATGGAAATTGAATTGTTTAAAGGACACAAAGGACGCAGGACACGGCCAGGCTTGAAATTATTTCCAGCCAATAAATGTTTAAATGTTAAATATTTTAAAGCTAACAGTAAAAACCACAGCATTCCACGCATTTTCCGAACTTGTGGGGAATTTCAGCAATTCGATTGTTTGATAATGTTGCCACAGTCATTATTTTCCGACAGCTCGAGTTCCCATAGATATAAGCTAGACAGTTACAATATAGAGAATCATTTCATTTGATATTGAAGTAAACTTGACAAGCCACAGCTAGAAATAAAACCTGCTTCTCTCAATGTGGAAGAGCTGCCGCATGATCCGAACTTGAATACGAACCCCCAAAGCAACCCTGCTAAATAAGATACCATATACAAAAAAACCTTGGATCCACATTTTTCGACCAGGATTGGCTTTAGTGTACTTCCAATCGTTTGAAAAAATCTCTATGTATACGTCATTTTTCACCAATTTTCCACACTTGCGGATGGAACTTGTGAAAAGCCCATTTAAGTGTTTATTTTAGTTACATAATCCGTCAGTCAGTCAAGGACTCTATGAATAAGTCAGTCAGTCTGTAAGTCAATCAGACAGTCAATCAATCAGTCAGACGGCCTGTCAATCTGTCAGTCGATTAGACATTTAGTCCATCAGACACTCAGTTAAGCAGTCATTCAATTTGTAGTCAATCCATCAATGAGTTTATGAATAAGTCATTTAGTCAGTAAGTCAATCAGTCGGTCAATCAGTCACCCTGACAGTCTGTCAATCAGTCAGTCACACTTTCAGTCAGTCGGTAAGTCAATCAGTCAGTTAGTCTGTCAATCAGCCAGTCAATTAATCAGACAATCTGTCAATCAGTCAGTCAATCAGTGAATCAATTAGTCAGTCAGTTAATTTGTCTATTAATCAATCAGCCAGCCTTACAGCCAGTCAGTCATTCAATCCGTCAGTCAGTCAGTCAACCAATCACTCAGTCAGTCAGTAAATCAGGCAGTCGTCTGTCAGTCAGTCAATCATCAGTCACCCAATCAGTCATTCAATTAGTTAATCAGTCGGTAAACCAGTCAGTCTGCCAGTCAATCAATCAGTTTGTCCCCCAGGGAATATATTTATACGATTCATACTTTCGTAGTTTGTTGTATATTTCTTTCTTAATTTTTCAATCAGACCACAGAAGGGCTCAGCTCTGAATTCGGCCTGTGGCATATTATCTAAAAAAAAAAAATAGAGAAAAAAAGTAGAAGCAGTTGCACAGAATTTAATCAACGAGCCCGTCAAAGAGCTTTGTTAATTGCTCTATTCACATTGCGACTCTTCTATGCGATTCTCACAGTCTCTAGCTAATCTGTTGCTACATTTGAGTGCACTTCATAATTAGCTTTCGGTTTGTAATTCTCCAACTACAGCCCAAATACGAAAATAAAAAATAAAGCAATGAGAAGTCTGCTAATTCGCTGGGACAGACCAAATATTGTGTTTGCTGTCATTCTCTCTCTCTCTCTCTCTCTGTTTTTTTGGTGATACCCTGCACGCTTTGGGTATGTGTAAAAATTGGGTATAGCGTGTCACAGGCAGGACATTAGGCATTATATTTTTGATAAGCATTGAAAATCGGGCTACCAGCCTATCGTAGCTCAGAGACTGTAAGCTCTGGAGCTGGAAATTTTGGTGTGTGGGTAGTTATAGGCCGGAAGGAGCTTAAAGTTAGGGTATCTATTCGATGACTGTCAATGGAATAAAAAATAAATAAATAAATGAAAAGAAAAGAAAAGATGCTGGAATTGTCTCAATATTATGTTAGGCCTCAAACTAATATAAAATGTATTTATTTTAATTAAATTTTCGGCACTTTAGGGTATCTATGCGTCGCGCAAACTGGCTTCGATGTTTTTTTCTGTGTATATTTTTTAGGTAATTTCCATGCAAACAATTGCTTGATCCCCTTTTGGCCACCGCCGCTGCCGCCGCTGCGGACAACATCAACTGACAATTTTACGGCCAGCCACAACTGCTGTCGCCCCTCCTTCGCCCTCTCTCCCCTTCTCTTGCACTCACTCTCTCTCTCTCTCTCGCTCGGCTGGCTGCGCATTTACATTTTGACAACTGGCGAAATGCAAGTGCGGAGCAAAAGGAGCAAAAAGTCAAACTAATCTAACAACTGCTAACAATAAGAGCTGCCCCCCTCCACCACCCCACCCCTCTGTCTAGGTCTAGCAATGCCACGCCCAGCGGACAGAACGCCCCCCAAAAAAATGGCCGCAGGGCAGCGCTTAGAGCTAGAACACGCGACCCCCCCTCGGCCCAAGCCTTTGCCACGCCGAGAGGCGAAAGCCTTGTCCAACAGAGCATTTGGCAGTGTGTGTGTGTGTGCGAGAGTGTGTGTGTGTGTGTGTGTGTGTGTGTGCGAATACGTTGACAATTTGCGTTTGTCAGTTGTTGTTTTAATTAGAAAACTTTTTTACCAAACAACAGCAGCAACAACAACAACAACAACAACAAATGCGAAAACTCAAAAACGATTTTGAGCACCACAAAAGTTAAACCCCCTCCCCCTCCCCGTCCCAACCAACGTCCAGCGCAACTACTTCCCCCCCGCCAGGCCCAGCATTTGTTGTATTTGTATTATTTGCATTTTCTATTTGATTTTGTTGTTTATATGTTTGCAGCTCTTCCCCCCTGCGCTCCCCTCCTGTTGTTCCTGTTGTTCCTGTTGTTCCTGTTGTTGCTGTAGGCAAATGAATAATGAATTTCGAATTTCTGTTCATTTCGTTTCGCTTTGAATTCCACATTTAATTTTTTTGCGAATTGCGTTTAGTTTGCATTAACGCAATAAGCATAAGAAGAGCGTGAGGGCGAGCGGGCGAGCGAGCGAGACAGAGCTATCATCGTAAAAGCCCAAAATACATTCATACATACATACATAGATAAGAGCTTCGGCTTGGCCAAAGATGTGCTCAAGATAAATATGCACAAGTGCACGGGCACATACATATAAAGAATCCGAATAAAAGAAGCAAAAAAAAAACAAAAAGAGGGAATCAAAAACAAAACGCAAGAGATAGAGTGCAGGAGCGAGTGTAAAGGCGAGGCAGAAACAGTTGGAAATACACACATACATACATACAAATGCACATGCGTATGTAAACAAATGTATATATGTATGTATTTATATACGTATGTAAAAGCTAGCAAAAAGCGATTTTTATGTTTATTTTGCAAAATTAAATCCAACGTTTTAGTTTTATGGGGTGAAATTTGCTTTGTTTGCAAAATAATATACCACATACTATACTATACTATACATACATATATATAATATATATATATATGTACATATATAGATACACATGCCGTATCAACCGACTGCAGACCGAGGGCAACTGGCAGAGCTCCAGACGGAAAGACGAAAAAAAAATCAACTGCTAGCGCGGCACAACGAAACTGAAATACCCTTTCCGTGTGCCAACAGAAGTGGAAAAATTGCGCACTAATGCACATTTACGGATTGCGAAATTATATTTTTGAATAATTTTTCGAATTTTTTTTTGTTTTTCATGTTCGAAATTTCAATGGAATCTATTTAACAGATATTTTTTTTGCGATTGCTAGCAGAAGCTCGAACTGGCACTTTCACGGAATGTGAATCAATATTTTTGAATATTATTATTATTATTTTTTTTTTTTCTTTTTGGTAATTTGTTTAGAAGGGATCTATATAACAAATAATAATAAATCTACAGCTACATTTGAGGCGTCTTCTGCTGTCTTGCTTGAGAGTGGAGCACATGATTTTTCAGCTGTTTTTCAGTGATTTTCGCAGTGCGTTGCATGCTTGATGTGCAAGCGGCTTGACCCGTTGCTTGGAATATGGCTTAAAGCGTGCAGCAAACAAATAAAAACGCAACACCCAGCGAGACACACACACACGCACACGCACACTCGCTGCATGTGTGCGCGTGTGTGTGTGTGTGTGTGTGTAGAGTTGGCATTGCGGTTTGTTGTCAATCTCGTTAGAAAGGAATCCTTTCGTAATCCTTGTGCTTCAGCTGCAGCTTTGCGTTATTTTCGTTACTTTGCCCTCAAGCTACAACCCCCCTCCCCCTCCCCC